CATGGGCAGGCTTTCCCTATGGGCTTCGAGGCGCTGGCAAGGAAGAGAAACAGGGGCGCGATTGTCATGAAGAAACAGGAGTCCGAATTGCTGAGCTACTTTCTGGCTCAGATCGATGTGGCAGATCCCGACGTGATCCTCGGCCACCAGCTGGAAGGCGTCGATTACAGTGTGTTGTTGAACCGTCTGCAGGAGAAAAAAGTCCACCAGTGGTCAAGGCTGGGAAGACTGCGGCGAACCCAGTGGCCGTCCTCCATTGGCAAGGTTGGCGGCAACGTGTTTGCGGAGCGGCAGGTCATTTCCGGTCGGCTGCTTTGCGATCTCGCCAACGATGCCGGAAAGTCCGCCATGTTCAAGTGCCAGACGTGGAGCCTGACGGAGATGTGCAGCCTGTATCTCACGGGGGACAACCGTCGCCGCGATGTCGACAACGAGGTCGCCCTCAACACGTGGGCCAAGGAGAGCCAGGGCCTGATGGACTACGTGACGCACATGGAGTTGGACACGCACTACATCACCGCCTTGGCAGTCAGCGTACAACTGCTGCCTCTTACCAAGGTCTTGACGAACCTGGCCGGTAACTCTTGGGCCCGTACCCTGACCGGTACCCGCGCTGAGCGAAACGAATACATTCTCCTCCACGAGTTCTACCGTAACAAGTACATCTGTCCCGACAAGCAGACGTTCAAGGGACGGCAAAAGGCCGAGGAGGAGAATGGCGACGAAGACGCGGGCGAGGGCAAGAAGAAGGACAAGTACAAGGGTGGTCTCGTCTTCGAGCCAGAAAAGGGTCTTTACGACAAGTTTGTGCTTGTCATGGACTTTAACTCTCTTTATCCGTCCATCATCCAGGAGTTTAACATTTGCTTCACCACGGTGGACAGAACAGCATCGGTAAGAGTTCTCTCGCCTTGTTTCGTAGTGACCCAGTGCTGACACCATCATCAGGCCGATAATGAAGACGCTGTCCCCGAGGTCCCTGTCAACCAAGAGCAGGGCATCCTCCCCAGACTCATTGCTACGCTCGTCAGTCGCCGTCGCCAAGTGAAGAATCTGATGAAGGACAAAAAGGCCACACCCGAAGAGCTTGCCACATGGGACATTAAGCAGCTGGCCCTGAAGCTGACGGCCAACTCCATGTACGGTTGTTTGGGATACACGCGATCTCGCTTCTACGCTCGCCCCCTGGCCATCTTGACCACGCACAAGGGTCGAGAAATCCTCCGCAGCACCAAGGATCTTGCCGAGAGCAAATCTCTGCAGGTCATCTACGGTGACACGGACTCCGTCATGATCAATGCCAACGTGGACAATGTGGCCGACGCCTTCAAGGTCGGCAACGAGTTCAAGAAGGCCGTCAACGAGCAGTACCGGCTGCTGGAGATTGACATTGACAACGTCTTCCGGCGCATCCTGCTGCAGGCCAAGAAGAAGTATGCAGCCATCAACCTGGTGGAAAAGGACGGCAAGTTTATCGAGAAGATGGAGGTCAAGGGTCTGGACATGCGGCGCCGTGAGTACTGCGCCCTCTCCAAGGAAGTGTCCAAGCATCTGCTGGACGAGATCTTGTCGGGAGACGACATTGAGGTTGCCGTGGCCCGCATCCACGAGTACCTGCGCGACATTGCTACCAAGATGCGCGAGTTTGCGATCCCCATGGCCAAGTACACCATCTACACGCAGCTCGGAAAGGGCCCCAAGGAGTATCCCAACGCCGACTCGATGCCCCAGGTGCAAGTTGCCCTCCGCGACATGGCCAGGGGCAAGACCGTGCGCAAGGGCGACGTGATTTCCTACGTCATCACGGGCACCAGCAAGAGCTCAGAGCCTGCGCCGAAGCGTGCTTATTCTCCCGCGGACCTCAAGGCCGATCCCAGTCTGCAGCCCGACGTGGACTGGTATATCGCCAAGCAGATCTTCCCTCCCGTGGAGCGTCTGTGTGCCAATATTGCGGGCACATCGACGTCGCAGCTCGCTGAGCAGCTGGGCCTGGACGTTCGCCGGTATGCCTCGACGCAAACGCAGCAGGGCGGCGCAAGCGACCAGCTCGAGATCCACCCTCTGGAGTCTCAGATCCCCGATGAGGTGCGTTTCGTCAACTGCACGCGGCTCAAGCTGCGCTGCCGCAAATGCAAAGCGTCCTCCGACTTTGAAGGTCTGACGGGATCTCCCGATCGCGTCACCGCGTCGGGCGTCATCTGCCCCGGCTGCAGCGCCGTGATCCCCACGCTGTCCGTCGTGGCGCAGGTCGAGCACGCGGTGCGCCTCCAGACGACTCGATACTACGAGGGTTGGCTCGTCTGCAACGACCCTCAGTGCGGCAACCGCACGCGGCAGATGAGCGTCTACGGCACATGCTGTCTGGGTCCCAAGGGTCTGGCGCGCGACTGCGGCGGCACGATGCAGTACGAGTACACGGAGAAGGCCATGTACAACCAGCTGGTGTACTTTGCCAGTCTGTGGGACGTGGACAAGGCCAAGGCCAAGGCGGGGGATGCCAACAGCGATCTCTCGGCCCAGGAGCGGGAGAAGATTCGCGCGTTGGCGGAGCACAACCGGGTGCGCTTTACGACGGTCAAGACGGCGGTGGACAAGTATCTCGAGAAGTGCGGCCGGCAGTGGGTTGCCATGGACACGCTCTTTTCAAAGCTCGGCTTTAGCAAGATGATGGTTCCTGCTGTTGCTGCCTCATGAGGGGGGGGATTTGGGCATAAAGTGCTCATGATGGAAATGTGTATAGTTTGTAATTTGGGTGTGGGGGTCCGAGTATATTCTTGCATGGCATTGGATGGTTCTTTATTCGGTAGCATGGAAAAGATCAATAGGAGATTTTTGGTATGAATGCTATAGGCGCTTAGCTTGAACAACTTGAATGTTGCTTGCAAAATCCAGTGGATTGTGTTCTCTTGTGGCTTCAGTGGACAACGTTGAGGTGTTGTGATGTTGTACAGTTTATGTGGAAAGTACCTAGGTCTTGTATCAGGGCCTGCTGTGATCATCACATGAGTCAGGCATGTTCAATGCCGTTGATGTTTACTGTCAGAGGGAGTATGTGTTAATTTCTCAATGGATAGCTCTGACGGTGCTCCCCAGTCCGAGCCAACAGTTGTGTTGAGAACAAAAGACGAGAGCTTAAAACCGTTTTGGGTTGAACAGAAGGGGAGTGTTATACAAGAGGGGAACGTCGACTGGCGGTCTTGGGAGAACAAGATTCGAACGGTATGGTGTGGTTATAGGAGAGGTAGTTGGTGACTGGTGTATAAGGTACCATTTGACATTACGTTGGGGAAAAGAGAATGACATAACACTGTCGAGGTAAGTTAAGTAGAATAGGATAAAACAGACAAGACACGAGCCACTTTGTTGAAGGGGACACCGACGATGGATGGGACTTTTGTGTGCTGTCGTACTGCCAAAGCGCTTGCTTTGTTTTTTAACATGGAGATGGGAGGGAAATATAAGGGGAAACATGGTAGTTGAAGTTGCCGTCCTCACACTGAGTAAGACAGAAGATCTATCAGGCCGGTCATTGAGCTTTGATTTGGAATTGCCAGAGTGCAATATTGAAACACGATGTAAACTGCACCCTGACTTTAGATATACTTCACAAGCTAAGCAAGAAGGAGAAAAAACAAAGACATGCTCTCATCACAAACCGAGCACAAGATCGCCCACCCCTTTTTTCATCATCACAAAGAGGTCTATAAGTAGAAAGAGAAAAAAAGATAAAAAGTACAGGAAAACATAAACAAGAGGAGAAAAGCATGGCAAGACAGAAAAAGGACAGGAGAAAGAAAGAAAGAAACATGAGAAAAGAGGACTGGGTCCCTAAAGGGGTAACAAACATATCCGGCTTTAGGCCTATA